TAAGTTCCTCTTTTCTCTCCAAAGGGTGATTTAGTTAAAAAACAACAACAACAAAAAAAACCAGAATGTGTCTTAACTTTCCTGCACTCTCATTTGAACTGCAATTACGCCAGCGATGAGTCAGCAAGAGTTCACCCTTTAAAAAAAAACAAAAAAAACCCCAGCAAAAACAAACGATCTAAAAACAGAAAAAGTGGGAGAGATATTTTTAGGTAGTTGTTGGGGATTTCAAACCAGATCTTGTGGACAGAGGGGGGAAGGCTGCTGGTTGGAAATCGTCTTGCTAGCCTGCAGGAGCGCCTCGCTCTGTTTTTCTTCCTCTGCTGTGAACTAATTAGTTCTCTGTGGCCTGAAATGATTGCTGTGTCATTCAACTTGACTGGCACACAGAGCTGTTTATTTACCCCTTTGTTTCCCCCGCTGCTGCCTGCAGACGCCGCGGTGAACGTCGCTGCTAATGGTTATGAGTGTGTCGCGTGTAGACTCTTTGTCATTTGTCACTGCAGTGAAGATGTGTGTGTGTGACTTTTATTCTCGTAATTAGTGCGAAACAAATGAGAAGTAGGCAATTCGGCAACCATATAGTTTAAAATACCTTCAATTTTTTTCTTCTTCCTGTAAATAAAACGGTAGATTCAGCGTTTATATTTTTTTCATTTTGTGAACTGCAACAGCTGCGGGTTTCTGACTAGTTTTGTTTCATACTTTTTGCAGCTTCTGTCTGGATTTAGGAAGAACAAAAGGAAAATAAAACAAGTCGAAACTGTTTGACGGCAACATTCCTGAAGATCTTAAAAAGATCTGGCAAGTAAATATTTGGAAATGAACTTTACTGCATAACTCAGAAATCAGTTGTTGACTGATTGATTGTTGGCGTCGCAGAGATGTGAGGGATTTTTGTTTAATGCAGCCGAACTCTGATGCTCTGTGATCGGTGTTCAGTCACTGCCGAGTGTTTGCCCGTTTTTATGGCAGCTATCAAATAAACAGAAAGGTGTACTTTTCAGTTGAAATCCCTTAGAAATAAACACTGGATAATGTTGTACTTCTGGAAAAAAAAAAAACAACCTGCTCCTGGGTTTCTGACACTCGGCACATCTCGCTGAGGGAGCCACTAACTAAAGCTTTTATTATATCTGCAGCTTTCATTCTCTTCTGGAGGGACAATGAAAGTCATTTTTCTGCTCCTGCTTTGCCCAAAGACGGCCGTGCCTGCACAGTACAGCGTCCTCTGTCTGAAAAAAAGCAAAGGCTTCCTCGTTGCAAAACATACCGTCTCTCAAGACACTCGGGCCACAAAAGGAGCAGGCTGCTTAAACAGGTGCGAAATATGGAAGACTACTTCTCCACAAACAGACAGTTCTCACTGTGCTTATTAATGTATGTTAAAGTATATTTGGTTTTACTGAAGTGGGAGGTTGTAGCATTTTTAGAGATGGTGTCAAGTATTTAAGAAAAACCAACCCTGAATGAATGTGATGACATTTTAGGTGGGTCTCTGGCAGAAGAGTAAAGGGAGAAGAGAACAGAACCGAGGATTGATCAAGAGAATGATGAGCTGGCTATACATTTATCTCCATATAGCTGTAGTAACATCTACTTTAACCCTTTATGACCCAAGTTTCAGATGTCCTCCTGGGTATTTTTTGCATATTTTAATTGTGCGCAGTTCTTTAAATGTCCTGCAAGTAAACATATATATATATATGACTGTCTATCCATAACAACTGGAACTTTTCATGTCTAGCGAGTTATTTTTGCAGTTTACCGTCTATTAAGAGTGGCCCCTCAGATTAATCTCACTCCCGGCTACGGCGGGGAGTGAGATTACCGTAATAACCCGATATTGAATGGAAAGCGCAATGTCTCCCCTTTCGGAAAAGGGGAATTTTTCAGATGGCCAGATGTGCGGCAGATTTGCGTTACTGCAAATTTGGCTGGATCTCCGGCGCTCCTTTTGGTCTGGCAGGGTTAAAGATCAGCGATCGGTGTGTTTTCACCAAAAATGCAGCTTTATATCGGCTCTGGCTGATCATGGCATTGGAAGGGACAGACTGGAGTTGGGGTACTTTATCCCTAATCGAGGGAATCTCATGAAAAACAGCTGATAAATATGATTTCTTATGGCGTCATGACAGTCTGCTTGAAAACACAGTTTCCTGTGTTTTAAAAAAAAAAAAAAACACACACACACATTGATTTTTTTTTTCTTTCTTTACAAAGCCACAAAGATCTTAGTTGGGTTTTATTTTTCTTCATTGAACAACTCTGATAGTGGAGCAGTCTGTCCTCAAGGATCTCCTCAGAGACACGGAGATTAATATGTTGCATTCAAGTGCCATTTTGGAGTTAAAAAAAAGAAAGCATCAGCCATTGAACGGTTAGACAAACACTTTGACACTCTCGTCATTCAAGGAGCCTGATAGAGAGCGTGGAAATGAGGCCACTTATTTGTGCTCCGAACTGACTCAGGCTCCAAGGAGTTTACAGTTTATTGTCAGCCTCTTATCTTCAATAATCCTAGTGGTTATGTCCTTAGCTGAAAGGAAGTGGCTGAGTTCTTTGATTTTTATTTGCACAAAATACCTTAATTAAACCAGAGTTCTTAACGAATCAATCTCTTGATGTCATTTTGAATTGCGAACTGTTGAGCTTGTGCGTCCGGCGCGCAGTTTAAATCGAATAATTTGTGTTTCTTTTGAATAAAAAAAAAAAAAAAGGGAACGTCGCTGAATTCTTCCTGCAGCCTCATTGTGAATCATCCTGATCACCGTGTCAGCAGAGCGTCAGCAGCTACAGTGCAGCCTCTCCCGCTGCATATAAAAAATGTACCATCAAAAAAGAAAAAAAAGAAAAAGAGAAGTCAGCTATGTTCTTAAAAATGGCTCGCTTTCGCTCATTTGATCTCGGAATGCTTAGGTGCGAGGAAGTCGCGGCAATTACAGCAACTCGCCGGCATAGCATAGCAACGGCTCGTTATTCTGAAAACTTCATTATATTGAATTGAACTCATGTTTTTTTTTTTTTTTTCTTTGACACAAACCTTCTCCTCCTCCTCCATTGCGGGAGATGGAGATTTTCTTTTACAGGGATTCTTGTTACCTGTGGAGCGGCATGTATTCCACTGTAAGCTTTAACGTCTGCAGGCTATAAATAAGGCAGGAATCTGCAGCCTTCAGTCTCTTTAGTCTTTATAAAAGCAGGAAACGCACAGCCGGTGCTTCCTTCATTGATTTAGCGTAACGGTAACTGAAATGAGGTAATCTGTTAAGCTCTTATGGGAAAACTAAATAGCTTTTTTTTTTTTTTTTTTGCTGCAACAGTAACAAGGACAAAGATTTATGCTTTTGTTTACCTTCATATTAATATCCAGTTGCTTTTTATGTCTTATGCTTAAGTCTTAATATTTTTAAGCATCTTTTCTGTTTGTTTTTCTTTATTGTTTTATCAATGTAAAAAAAAAAAAGAAGAAAACTTGCTACGTAGATGGAAGTCTGAGGGTAGTCCAACAGCGGCCCACGTTGTGTTTTGTGTTAAAAAAAAGGTTAAAGTTTACAGGAAGTCTGACTCTGTAGTGATGTGTTACTGGAGGACATGATTGACAGTACTTGAAAACCAGCTAAAGAGTATTAAAGTCAAACACAATCAAATACAACTGAAGTAAATATATTTTCTTCTTGTTTTGCTTTTCAGTTAAATCCTAGTTAGGTAATCGGTGAGTAGAGCGAAGAACAGGCTGGTCACATGCATGTAAAGGTAGCAGAAATTAAAACGGACAACATTGAGAGAGCACGTTTGTACGCTTCATTAAACTTTCTTGAGATACAATATTCAAGTCTGAGGTTTTCTTGTGTTTTCCTAAATACTTCCATTTTGTTTGGTCATGCTCGGCTGGTTGCGATTGGTTCTTCACCCAAACAAATTCAGTATTTGCAAGGAATACTCTGGATGAAAAACACCAGTTTGTGATAGTGGTTTCATTTTTTTTTTTTTAAAGGATGTTTTTTTGGTTTCTATTGGCCTTTATTTGACAGTATGTCAACAGGAAAAGGGGTTTTTTTTTGAGAGAGGGCGGCAAAGGTCAACAGGCCCAGACTCAAACCTGTGACGTATAGAACGAGCGTGTAAACACACTCACACACACACACACACACACCACAGGTTATTCTTTGTTCATAAAGATACATGCTCTCATATCAGTCTCGTTGAACGTAAACCTCCTAAAGCGGGACCAGAACTCCGACTTTACAGCTGCGCTTTTAGAGATTCGTGTCGAACGTGAGCAAGTGGTGAGGCTCGTATCGTTGACGTGTGCGTTGGTGCAGTATCATCCAAAAACTCTATGAAATTATAAGCATTGAGACCTTTTATGGAAGTCCTACGACAAGCTCTTGATCTCTCCAATCCGTTACGTTCTATTGCAAATGGAGGTTACATTTTTTTTGTCTGTAGTTTAGTCAGCTTTCCTCTTGTTGTCACAAGTTTGTTTTTCCTCTGAAGAGATCTGGACTTTTTTCCCTTAGTTATTATTACTGTAACAGTTGTGGATATCTTCCACTGCTCAGTAAAAATCAATCCAGATACGTCACGCAGGAACACAGAACCAAAGGCATTTGGATGAGCGGATGAGGAACGCGACCCAAGAATGACCTCGGCACCAGGTCGCCATCGGATCAGATGGAGCCCGTCTTTAATGATTACCCTAACCGACTTGAAATGATGTGACATGTTCTTTTAAAGTAACTGTATTCAAGTTGTTATAACTTAAATCACTCCGATCATTCAGACGCTCGGCTTCGTCTAACAGCGTATTTGCATTCGCTGCGCTCGGGGCCAACAGCCGCTCAGACGCTAGCAAAGAACTAAGTGAGTGTTGGTCCAATTTAATGATCTCTCTCTCTCTCTTTTTTGCACCCAGTTGCTTAGCAACGTGGATCAGTTTGTCTGAAGCCTTGGCGTCCTGACTGAAACTTTGCGTCGTTTGAGGAAAGTTTGATTCCACACTAAAGACGTGTGGAATCAAACTTTCCTCCTTCTTCTTTCTCCTCTCGGCTGTCGCAGGACTCAGGCCCGACCTGACGCGTTTTCAGCACCGCCTCTGAACCAATGAAAGCAGAAAGTTAAGAGGAAGTCTGATTGGTTTTGGGCTTGACGGAGACATCAGGTTGATTGAATCCCACCTTCTCCTGTTAGCTACCGTAGTTAATAGTTAAATTGCAGCTTCAATTTCTGGCAGCGTGTTGGAGGAAAGCTCTCAGGACAGGAAGTCTAAAGCATCACCTGCTATTCTCTCCCTCCCCAAGTCAATTTTCTGCTGTAAATCATAGTGGCAGAGGAGGGGGATTAAAAGAGGAATAAGAGGGAATGGGAGCTCTTACTGCAAAGACACAGCTTGAATAAAATCAAGTATTTCTGTTTCACCTGACTCCCAAATCTCAGGAGGGAGCCGTTATATTTTTTACCAACAGTGATGGTTTCATTTAAGTTTTACAAAGATTTGATTTGTCGATGCTGATTTTTATCTGATTTCTCTATAGGTCATGTAGCACAAGAAGACACTGGAGCAGCATTCGTTTTATTTTATTTTTCTGTCATAAGTGGTCAGTAAGTATTCATATTACCAGTAGCAGGGGCGATGTTATAGTTAGAAAACAATAAATAAATCAGGGTTTTAGTATTTTTAAACAAAACAGTTGCACAGTTGGCATTTTAAGATGCCTTTCTCGTCTCATAGCAGAAATTAGCATTGGCAGCGTTAGCGGTGCTGAAGCTGAAGTCTGAGTTTGTATTCTGTAGAGAAAATAGAATTGGAAATGTTGACAAAACTATGTCAACATTTCCAGGGTTAGCATGTTTCATAGCTGAGGTTGAAAGTTAACAAGAATATATAACAGAGCAATTTTTGTGCTCCGTTTACCCTTCCTGTTAGCCGCTGAAAGTCTTTCTCTCTAACAGCTGGAAATGAGCCGTCTCTTACATTTCTTTAACTTGTCCTGAGTTACTTTTAAAACGCCTCACGGTCATGTAATAACTGCTAACTTTTGCATTGTCTCACTGCAGTGACGGCATCCACACCGAATGTCCCAGCAAGAGCTGCTCACATGTGATGAGTTCACTGATTGGAAAAAGATCAGACTTTTGAGTATCTAACTGACCAGTCATCAACCAGAAAAAATAAAATAAATAAATTAAACAGTTATGATCACTTGATATATCTTTGTTTCAAATATGGATTATATAAGGAGGAACATCTTTTTATAATGAATGACACGAGATGGATACGATATAATAATTTACACTATTGGCTGTGATTGGCTGCCGATATCGCAGCCAATCACAGAGCAGAACTGGCTCAGGTCCATTTAAAACACAGTGAGACTCGGTGAGATACAACTGAGCCCAGTTACATTTACTTTTGAGCAGAATTACCATTACAGACTGAACATTGATGTTTTAATGGTTGCTTCTGTTTATTACCATTAATATTTCTCACTATTCCAATTGTTTGACTTGCTGAATTCAGCTCATAAAGGCTCCGTTGATCCCAAGGAGGAAATAAATGTCGCCGTAACTGGAATTATCCAAGAACAGAGAGCGAGCCGTCATCTCAGGACGGCTGAACAAAGGGACAGAACCTCCTCCTCATTTGTCACCACATCTGTCGGCAATTAGGTGCAATTATCTTGACCATGGAAGACGGCTTCAAAGTCCATCCCAAAATGCAACTGGGCTGGAGACTGATTTCCACACGCTAGTTCTTGTTTGTCCTGAGCGGATTAGAAAACGTGGCACATGACATATGCATATTTAAGAAACTTTACCTGCGTGTGCCGCCAGTGACAAGCCACTCTGTCTGCTTTGCTTACTCAGTGATTACCATGAAAGAAAAAAAACAAAAAGCCAGAGGATGACAGTCTGTGTCTGCTCCTCATCTTTATTTCATCAGGGTAAATGTTGTGGCTTCTCATCGCCCGTACTGAATACGTTTGTTTTTCATTAAGTCCCACTCTCGGCAGAAGGAACTGCAGACTCGCCGTTCTGCTGCAAACAGATTTTTAATTTTTTTTTGTACCCAAACATAACGCTGTGTCATCAACACAAACGTACAGAAGCACATTTCCTCACTTTGCTTTTGCCAACACGGACTAAATTAGAAAGCGAAAGCATCATTTTTCAGAATGATTCACTTTGACAGGCCTGGTCGTTGCTTTGTCACTCCGCGCGCAACCTCGCGTTTCGCCGCCCGATTGTTCCGGCCACGTTGTTGCCGTCTTTGAAGCAGAAGGCGTTTGCCGGTGTCGCTTTGCTTTATTTCGACAAGTCGGTTGTGTTTTCCTCGCTTGCTGCCATTACTCCAGTCAGCCTTAATCATGTGTGCACTCAGAAAGCGGAGCGCTGCCAAACACAGCAGATGTTTGTAGACAGGATAACCCGTTGTGTTCGAGTGCTGTCGGTACAACGGAAACTACAGTGCAAGAAAACAGTACAGATTTTTTTTATATATATATATGTATACGGCAACAGATGAAAGTGTTCAATTAAACATTGATGAAGCAGAAAGGGTGTAAATGCTGTTTGGTTTGGATTTCTTAAACAAATCCCTATCCAAGTGTAAACGCTCTGATGAATGCAGTATTTTCATGTGTGAAGAAGTCCTTAGGGAAACGGCTTTATTGGTTTATTTAACAAACGTGCTGTAAAGTGAAATCTCCCATGGATGGATGGATGTCATAGTAACATATAACAAGGAATATATTGATGTAGTATGAATTAGTCCTGCTGTAGCAAACAGTGTATTAAAACACTTAAATTGAACAGGTGTTGTGTTCTTCATGTACAGTAGAAATATTTTCTGTTTGATAAAGATTGTCTGTCTGTGCAGGGTGAGATGGTTAAAAGTAGAGCTGCCTTCTCCGAGCTCTCCCAGTGCTGACTAGCAACAACCAATCAGAGCAAGGAGGACGGTCTTGGCGCTGTCAATCATGGCCATGTGCACGCTGCTCACCTTTTTCCTCGCCTCTGCCCCTTGCTTTCTTACAGGTGGAGGAGATCAATCTTTTCACAAATGATCCGTCACATCACGATGATTCCGAGACTCGGCTCAGTTAGGAGATGCACTATCATGCAGAAATTTGACTTTGTTGTCACTAAACCTATTTTGGATTGGTGAAGTAAATGACATATATATTGAATTATTTTCTAATGAGTTCCCAGGAGAACTCCTTGAACTAAGTCTGGAAAACTGTCTCCGGATCATTTAATTAATTTGCTTTATTTTTTTTCCCTTTAACTCATTTAATTCCTGTTTTATCTACAAGTGCAAAGAGAGATGCTACATGACACCGGAGATATATATATATATATATATATATATATATATATATATATATATATATATATATATAT